AGACTATTTATCCTGCCAAATCCTAAAAGGCCAGAATGTTTACTAACAAACTTCAATTTTAGAAAGTTTAGGACACACATATTTTTATTCATGTTGGTAAAGCCATCTGAAATTAAGCTTAGCTAGAAAAGAGTACACAAAGGCTCAGGGTTGGTCTTCTTGGGTGTGCTTTTATACAACCCCTTGTTCTACAAGGTCATGATCCTTCTCTAGGTCTTCCACAAATTACCAGAGTGAAAGTAAATGAAACAATTAATTTATTTGTACTGAAGTTTGTATAACCCACAATCAGTGACTCACTAATACCACACACTACCTTGTTGTGGTTTTAAAAATTCAGGGATTAGTCTGTTTGCAATACAACTGTCCCTTCAAAAGGAAATGCATTAAAGGCTAATATGGTATTAACCAACCACAATGTAAACTTTTCAAAAGGCTTTAAACCAAAATTCTTCACATCTCCAAGCTACCCCAAGAGTTTCACCAAAATTCAAACCTAACATTATACCTGTTTCTCTGACTCCTTGAGCAATTTACACACAAGAAGGTGAGCTAAAATTAAGCCAGAGCTAAACACTGGAGACAGCTTCTACCAGGAATCAAAAGAAAAATTACAAGAGCACAATTTCTTTCCTGTTCTGGGATTTTGGCTCCTCACCTATCCCTCCTGCTACAGAAGGATTGAAGGCAGTCTGGAAACTCATCCTTGGTTTCTGCAGAATTAAATCAATCTCAGATGATGCTTAAGTGGCCTGTAAACAAAATCTCCCAATTTTGTACAAATTGATTGCCGAAACCCACAAACAAGAACGCACAACAAATAAAATAATTTTAATACAATGCACTTCTCTAGAGGAACCTTCTAATCTGGAACTAGGTATTCTAGATAATCCAATGAGATTGTACAAGATAGCTACACATTCAAACTTCTGGTCAGCCGAGATCCTTACCTTCACAAAACATCAAAGAAGAGCTGCATAACACAGCCATAGCCTACGTATTTGTAGTAAGTCAAATCCTTCCCAAGACACCAGAGCTCCTACTCAAGAGCCAGCAGGCATGTGACAGAGGCACAGCACGCCTTTCCTGCCCAGACTGCTCCCACAGGCAGCAAGAAAGCCTGGCAGCAGCCTAACCCCCAGGTGAGACCTTTTGCCCTGATACAAACTGATGAAGTGAGATCCAAAACCATCCTGATGGGCATCACCACCACTATACAGGAGCCAAAGGTGCTGATGGCAGACTGCCCACACTGCAAAATAAAGGTGAAGCTGTGCCCCTGGCACCCGACCCAAAAACTTCTGTTTCCTTCCAACAGTACAAAATATAACTATGCTTCATTTTTAAGTTTACTACAGGAAAATCCAGCCTGGCTGTGCCACCAGAGGAGGCCAGGAGGGCCTGCTGCGAGATTCCCAAAGAGTTAGGGAGGAGAAGGAGCCCAGGAAGACTTTTGAAAGAGACACATGGCTGTGCGTGCATGGGTGTGTTTGGGGCGATGGAGGGGTGTGCATTTCTGCGTGTGGGGAGGTGGGTATGTGTGGGGTGTGTATGTGTAGGGTCTGGATGTGTGGGGATGTGGATGTGTGGGGTGGGGTCTGTATCTGTGGGGATGGGTATGTATGGGGTGGGGATGTGTGGGGATGTGGATGTGTGGTGTGTGTATGTGTGGGGTCTGTATGTGTGGGGATGTGGATGTGTGGCGCGTGTATTGTGTGGGGTGGGTATGTGTGTGGTGTGTGTATGTGTGGGGTGCATATGTGTGAGGTGGGTATGTGTGTATGTGTGGGGATGTGTATGTGTGGGGATGTGTATGTGTGGGGATGGGGGATGTGTATGTGCGGGCAAGTGTGTGTACGGGTGTGTGGGGGGTGTATGTGGGACAAGTATGGGGCTGTGGAGGAAGGGGACGGGATTAGGGATGTGCTGAGGGGCTGTGGGTGTGTAGAGGGGATGTCGGGGAAGGACGGACACCCACAACCCACCCCGCACTCACCTGCCGGCGGCAGCGCGGCCGCCGCTCCCTCAGCCCGGGCCGTCCCCGCCGGCCGCCGCCATCGCCCCGCCCGTTCCGGCCGCCGCCCCGGGGCGGGGCCGCCGGCGGCCATGTTGAGTGCGGGCGGGGCGGGGCGGCCGCGCTGCCCTGAGGGACGGGACAGCCCCGAGCCCCGCCCGGCCACCTCGGGGTTGTCCCTGCTGTCCTTTTGGTCTCAAATGTCTGCGGCTTGGGCCCGCCCCATCGACAGGAAACAAGTCTCTAACAAACGGCAGTCCATGAGTCAGTGCGGGTCTTTTAAAGGCCATGGCCTGACAAAACCTTCCCGGATGTAACCGGAGTGTAAAACCCCCAGGGACACCCAGATGCCAAAGCTCAAGTCCGTGTTTGAGCCCATCAGGTGCTAAAATGTTCCTCGCTGAACAGCTGCAGGAATAGCTGCTTTTGTATGGGTACTGTCCAAAGGGAAGCAGGGAAATTTTCAGCCAAAAATGTCATCGCAGACCCCAGACTGGTTTGTCCCCCATGGGCAGGGACACCTTCCACTATCCCGGGTTGCTCAGAGCCCCATCCAGCCTGGCCTTGGGCACTGCCAGGGATCCAGGGACAGCCACAGCTGCTCTGGGCACCCTGTGCCGATGACAACAGGGTGGTCAGCAGCTCTATTTCACACTGAGAGCTGAGTGAGAAAAATAGTGCACAACAAGTTGCAGCTTTAGTTCTTGTGCAGAGAAGCCTAATCTACGCATACAAAAAATCCTTCCAAAAAGAGATTATTAAGACACATGCCATATATTAAGGTCACCAACATTCTGTGCCCAAAACAATAAGGTACTACATAGTGAACTCCAGAGATGTGAAAAGTCTTTGAGGGAGACTCTGTAAAGACAAATTACATCTAACACTTATTTTGTTTCTGTAAGACTCATTTAAAAATATATATACATTAAGAAAGTAGCTGAAATAAGCAGCTTGTAATATGTTAGACTACAGCAAATTCCTAATTCCCCAAATAATCTGAGTAGAATAAATATACATTATGATTTGCCAAGTGATGCTACGGTAATAGGCTGTTTCAAGGATGCAACTACAAGGAAAGAGTTAATTTAATAATTCATATAACCAGAGCTATTAAATATTCCCTAGTTTAGCTATGAAAGCAGCTGCAAAATGCAGCATCACGTGCATGGCCACGTGCAGTGGAAATTTCCTAGCACAATACCTCTGGCAGCAGAAGAGAGCAGCCTTCACAGCCTTCTTTCGATGGAGAAGGTATGTCTGCTGTGGCAGCTGACAGCAAGAAAAGTGAGCCTGAATCTTCGTGCTGGCCAATCCTTTTTTGTTCATGCATCCATCATACCTCAGAGGAAAGCTGAAAGGAAGTTCACTTTTTAAATGTATTAAATATTTCATTAAGGATAGAAACAGTTGTTGTGTTGTTTTTTTTTTTATTGTTGTTGTTTTTATTATAAGAGTTTTCTAGCTTAATTCAGCATTTTTTAATAGTTATGGGTCCATAGCATTAGATGTTGTTTTGCTCTTTCTCTGAAATTTACATTGACAGTATTACATCACAGCTAATAATAGATGCTGTGGTTTTCAATGTTAAGGCATCTCCACTTTTTAACATTATTGTTAAAAAGGGGATGTGGGGGTGTACGTTGAGAGCAGCTCAGTGATGCTTACTATTATTGTATCAGGAAATGCAGTGGCAGCCCTGGTGTGCTATCTTTGTGACAGAAATTACTCCTATGATGACATTTGGGTATTTTATTTTAAGCTTGGAGCAACTCACAAGGTTAGGTGTATGTGCAAAATTCAGCCTGGTTTCATGAGAGGAACTATTATTGATTTGAAGTGGTAAATACAAGAATGGAAATATCAGAAGTGGTGAAAAGAAGAAAGTCATTGCAAGCAGTGATAGTGCAGAGGTTAATTTACCTTTTATTATATTGTACCTTCAAGGCAATTTTCTTCCAGCATGTGCGAATGTAAACACAGCACAGTCCTTGGCATGAGTTGGAAGACGAGCGTTGTCATGTTCACTTAACAGATGAGTAAACCTCTTGTATGGTGCTTGAAGGGGGCAGATAAGGGCGGTTCTACTACACAGCGCTGAAAGAAGTGGTTTGCATAATACACACACACAACACAGGCAAACACTTTTACACATTTAAAAACTTAGCCAGGAAAGTCATAACTACATCCCAGCTCCAGGTGGAGTGCTGTGTTTATGCTGCTGTTCTCCTTCTCCTGGTGTTTACCTTCACTCAGAGAGATGAAATCATACTATAAATAGAGGGCAAAGTCCGCTCTCAAACAGTACCTGGTGAAGTCTCCTGTTTGACATGACAATAAAGTGTGGAGCAATACGGGGGGGGTGGTTCTTTAGAGTTCTTTTGCAGTACACTGTCCTCTCTAGTGATGGGTGATACTGACTGAATCACAACACTGCTATCACCAGCACAAAAGAAAAACACCGAAAGTCCCATGACCTCACTAAACCCTTTGGACAAGGTGTCAGCAGCGTTTCAGCAGATCTCTCTCTTCAACCTCTCAGTAACTCTGCACTGGCTGCGCTGCCAGGGAGAGAACAGAAGTGTTCTCTGCTCCACACCCTTTATCCTCAGGTACCCTCGAGACAGTTGAGGATGCAGGTGTGTTTTTGTTAGTAAGCTGAACTGCGAGGAAAGCTTTCTAAACCCTGTTTAAAAGCGAACACCACCACCACCACATTCCCAAACCAAAGGGAATCTCAGCGTGCCGAAAAAAACCCACACACGGACCCACAGCGAGACAAGGCCACCCGTGTGGCACACGGCCCCTTCTGCAGAAGGTGTCCGCAGGGCCTGCTCACGCCACATTGACCGGGGGGCCACGCAGGGCTCCGTCCCACCGCGGGGCGCTCCGAGGCGGCGGCGGTGGCCGTGGTGGCCGCGGTGGCGGTGTCGGTGTCCCCGGGGCGGGGCGGCCGTGCCGGGGCGGGGCGCGGGCGGACAAAAGGGGCAGTGGGGCCGGATCGCCGCCGTCAGCGGCGGCGCGGGGGGCGCGGGGAGCCCCCTCTGCTGAGGCGGCGGGACTGCGGGCCGAGGTGAGCGGCGGGACACGGGCGGGGAGCGGGGGGAAGCCGGCCGGGCTCACCGGGCCGCGCTGCCGGGGCGCTGCGGAGCGCCGAGGGCTGCCGGCGGTGCCGGGACCCGCCGCCTCACCTGCGATGTTTCACGGGCAGCGGCTCCGGGAGGCGGGATCGATGCCCCGTAACAAACGGGATGGACGCCGTGCCCGTCCCGCCCCGGCTGCTCGGCCCCGGCAGGGAGCCGCGTCCCTCCGAAGGATGCTGCGAGCGCCCGCGGGCTTGATATGAACGGAGTGCGTGTACTTTCACTCGTAGCAAAGCAGGAAATAAACCCTCAAAATAAGCCCAAGATATGTAGCAAAATATGCCAGAGTTAAACATAAAAAAAAAAATCTCTGAATAACTCGTTTCCTATATCTACGTTTAAAACGATGCTGTTGAATGATCTGCAACAGCAGAGATTGATACAGAAATCCACGCAGCAGCGTATACTCGGTAATGTTTAAGTCATTTCACAAGGAGTGATTTCCTCAGCGTGGTGAGTTTTGTGATTAAACAGATTTTGAGGTGTTTAAGTGGAAAGTATTAGCCTGAGATTGCTCCTCAAGGCCATAGCAGAAAGACAGACGCACGTATAACAAGAAAACAGAGTAGATTCCATTGTCATTTTCTGTCACAGATACATGGACAAAGTTATTTTGAATTAAAATATTGTGGGCACATCAACTTTTTTTTTCGTCTAATGCATGTCAGCTGAATGAGAGTTAGCACTGAGTATCAGTGAAGAAGAAAATCAGTCTTTATGCAAGGTGTTTGATATCTTCTGATGTAAAAATGTCACCTCTGTAGAGACACAATCTCTCTGAAAAAAAAAATATTAACAAAATTGCCAACTTCTCCTGTTTGGTAGGTGTCTGTGGTAGTTCTTTTTAATGATTTCTATATCAATAGGCCATTGACCATAAGACCATTTAGAGCAGACTAAAAACATTGAATGTACTCAGCTTCTGCAGGGTAACAGCCTGCTGGGCAAAGCAAGAGCTGGTGGGAGTAGAATAGAAACTGTGAACTTAACCCAGTACAGGAAATATAAGTAAAACTGCAAACAGTGTGGCATTTTAATTCTGTGTACTGATGTTCAGAACAAGGACAGCATCAATACAAAAATACAAAATTTGAGTTCTTTGACTCACAGTCACGCTGGGTTTGAATATCAACAGTTTCTCTCACCTTCCCAATGTGGCAGCAGTAACTGGGATTCCAGAGGCACCTGTAAAAGATGCCACCAAAGGTCGTAGATGATGATGAGTTTTCTGACTGCAAGTCCTGTAAAGTGTCCCTGAATTGGGACAGGCTGGAGGTGCAAGGTGACAGTGTGGGTGCTGTGCTGCACAGTTCTCAGGGGACCAGGTGAGGGAAAATGCAGCCCACAGCTCTCCCAAGTGTGACAGCTTTTTAGTATTATGAATTATCAGTTTAAACTAAAAATGTTATTTGGTCCACTGAAGCTCAGCATCTGCCTCAGTATTTTTATAGGTTATGAACTTGGTGACCAGCATCCTTGAATTCTACATTTAATATGAAGGCATGAATCCCATAATCTGTCTGCTGAGGATGCAAGCAGGTTCACTGCAGGTCCTTTACCTTCCAGGGGGATGGGGTGGTTGAATGAGGTCTCTAAAGTACATCAGAGTTAAAATTTTAATTTGATTGAACACATCTTAAAATTAAGACTCAGATTTTACTATGTAACTGTACTAATAATTATGAGTTTTGCACAAACTTTTTTGAACACCAGTAATAACTTTTCTGTCTGCATCATTTATTTTAGGGGCTTTCAAAAATACAAAATTCTATTTCAAAAATACAAAAATCTACTCCAAAAATTTTGGAGTAAACGTGAACAAAGAAACATTTTTCCATTCATAGACTATTGAACCATATATATTGTCATACGTACATGCAATGAATTGGCCGTGCAATCCAATAATAAATTTTAAGCAAGTTCTTATTAATTTTATAAGAATCTTGACCTTTTGGTGAGAGTACAAAGGGCAGAAGATATTTTGAAAAGGAAACATAAATGTTAGAGCAGAATCTGACTCAATCTAAACCTTACCTCCTTATCAGCAAGTAGATATCCCTGAGATAGGTGGTGCTGTCACAAAAAAACCCCAGAACAGAGCCTGGCAGAATATGTGTGTGGTTTTGGGTTTTCTTACTAGAATAGTTTCACTGTGGTATCAATATAGTCTTATCTTCAATGTTCTTAATTCTTCCCATGAAACCTCTTGGGAACTGAATGTGTTCATTTTGATAGAAAATTGTTTATTTTTCCGTTTAGAAGCCATTGAAATAGGATTGTGAGCACTGAAGGAATCTGTAGACTCTTTAAGGAAAGTGATGCTTTATAGGCTTATAAATGATGGCTGTTTAAAGCAGACACAACTGTGCTATCTACTCTTTAAGGTGGAAATCTCTTGTTCTGTTCTGTCACAGTAAGGACTGCTTTCTGAGTGCTCTAATAGACAACATGGAAATGCTGATGATACAAAAAAAACCTTGAATTTCCTCAAGTCCTGACTGAATCAGAGCCCCTTGAACATTTTCAGTAGAGACTGAAATACAGAATAGCTGCATATGCTCTTTGCTGTAAAAGGTTTCCTCCATTTAAAGTCTGCTGTATGCATTTATTTTGCTACTGAGGTTACAGAACTTGCTTAGGAACACATTTTTTATGTTAAAATATAATAAAATGCTTAATTCCTATTCTGTTTTGAGGTAAGAAAACCTCTGTTACATTCCCAGTGGAGGCATGTTATCATACTAACTTACTGAGCATAAAACCAGAAATGAAGTGAAATGTAAGAAGTACAGCGTGTATTTTTTAGATTTACAAAGTGTCCCTTAATAGCTGTTTGAGACAATATTAAGAAGTGTTTTGTGTAAACAGTCTCCAAGGTCATTGATGTTAAGCTGACTGAGAACACGGTAGGAGACAAAGAATTAATTTATCTTTGCTCCTTAACCTAATACTCATTTAAGAGTTCATCTAGCACCCTGGGTTAACTAACCTGCCCAAAAATGAGTAATGATGACTTAACCTCTCATCTTTCTAAGAAAATCTCTCAACTTGCTCTTCATCTTCAGTCGCTATGTCAAAGACTTGTCCTTGTAAAATGGCACAGAGATTTGTGCTTGCAGCCCTGAGGATGATGTCATGTTTTGAAAGAGGTGGCTATGGATTGAAGATATATATGCAAACAACCAAGCCTCTATTTGTTTTTCATTTAAAATTAGTTTGCATGGGCAGCTGGTAGAATCTGAAGCAGTTTGAGACAGGCTTTGATAGTGTGGGGGTAAAGGATGAGGGTCCTGTCTGTCAATCCATATTTTTGTAGGCAGGCACTGGACATTCTGAGCCTGAACACTGGAATTAGATTATCAATAGTGGTTTTATGCTTTCATAACCAGTTTTAAAACATAGTAAATCATACATTGTTATATTTATAGCTTTACTGTGTCACATCTGCTTAAAATATGTACGGTTGTATGCGTGAGACATAAAGGCCACGTAAACTGCATTGATAAGTTGTAAAATACATAAGGGTAATATATAAACTATAACTAATGCTTTCAGTGCATTGTACTAAAGAATCATTGTGCCTGTCTTAAAATCTGTTAACACAGCAAATCTAATTGAATTGGCTACAAGTAAATTTCAGATCCTTTTGTTTTCCCCAACTCACCTGCTGGCTTGCCTGGTTTAGCAATGTTCCTTTTTCAAGAAGATTTTCTGTTCTCTTTTGCTAGATTAAAAACCACCCTCACAAATAAAACAAACCTGACTGCAAAGTAAAGACATCATCAACATAATCTTTCTACTGAAGATGCTTCATTATTCAATCAGACCTGTGTTCATAAATTGCCATAATTTCCATCATATAATTAGGCATTTGGAGAGCTGCTTTTTAAATTTGGATCTAGACCTCTTTTCATCAGAACATTAAGTATGTATTTGACTTGAAATACATTATTTATTCTGCTGAAGGCATTTCACCATTGAAACGGAGCTTTAAGCATGCTCAGTCAAAGGTTTACAGGGAAGCTCGAAATTTTTTGATCTGGTTGCTGGTTTGGAAATTATCTCTGTTGCTGGCTTGGGGTTGTGCTACCACTCCTCAGAGGTATTGAGAGATGGACACTTACTCTCAATCAACAGCAATTGCTCACAAATATGTACAACCTCTTTGGTTTCTGTAAACCAAAATCAGTTTGCCTTTTCTTCCTGTATAAATGAGAGAAAGAAGGGAAGGGTGAGATGGGTGGTAGCAGATTAACACAACCTGCTGTGGAGAATGATACATGCTCCACTTGATCAGCTCTGCACAGATCCAGACCTGAGGAACACAACAAGTTCATATTATTGTACCTTTTGTGTGCATTTCCATACTACACCTATACACCCAGATTTTTAAAATTAGGACAGAAATCAGTAAATGGCCTCAAGACAGGTAATTCTTAAGAAGATAATTGCTAAGCTTTGCTCTGAAACTAAATTAGACCCATCCTGTACACCTTCAGGACAGTGACTCTCCCAGACTACCTTTGCCTCAGTGCTGCCCATCCTGTAAAATATGTTTATTTTACACCATCATCCTCCTTGCTGGATGGGCCTTGCATTGAGACAGCTTGGTGGGCAAAGCCAGCACATGAGGCTACAGCTGAGCTGTGGAGAGCATGACCCAACAACTCTTTTTCAGCCTGTGGGAGGAAGGTATTATCATGGTAACAGGTGTGAGGTAGCATATGTTGCACTTTGGGCTTTTGTTGTGGTATTGTATGGTTTGTTTACATGTCTGAGTTCTGTACTGTGTTGACTTATTATAGGTCTTTTTCAGGACACAGTTTTCGTCTCACACAGATATAGACATTTCCGTTGTATGGCCCTGTGAATGTGAAACTAGCATCAAGTTTAGAAATGAAGAAGAAGACAAAAAGAGAAAAAGAAAACATCTTTTTTTAGTATTTTTTTCCCTCACTATGTCGTTGTGAAAGTTAAAAATAGTAATACATGTGCAGGAGACAGCTGATCTTTTATGCTTGGTCTTACTACATTTTATCCATGATAGCTCTTGCTTTACTAGGTAACTTCTAAAAACTTTCTGAACTGTGAAGAAAGACAATTCATGCATTTCCATTGGTACCCACGGGCTACAGGAATACACCACTACATCTCTAGATGATTATTTTGTAGGTGTGAGCCAAACAGTTGGGTTGTTAAACCTCCAAAAATCCAGCACTGCGTGCTTTGACTGTTTCTCTGTTCTCTACTGAGATTAACTGCATCCAGAGAACTGACACTTTAAATGTCCAAGGGAGTACTTCAACATCCCTGGGATCCTCCAAACCCTGCTCTGCCATTCCCAGTTTCCCATGCATGGATTTACAGGACGCCTTGGAGCTCCTGCCTGAGCTCAGGTGGAGTTCTCAGACCAGGAGCTGCCCTGGCTCACCCAGTCCGTACTGCAGTAGTGTCACGTTGGACCTTGCACCAGAAAGGGACAGGGATGCACTTGTGGGAACGTGATCAGCCCTTGGCCACCACTCCACCCAGTAACCCACAGGTCTAGATGTTGCCCTGGGAAATGGAAGATCCGTTCCAGTGAATATGGAATAATTTAATGTGATTCAGCCTCACTCTGGTGTGTGTATGAAGCCCAGGCACCTGATTCAGAGCTACAAAGCCCTTGGGGTGACTGGGTATCTGGAAATCAGATATGGTGCTGAAATGCACAGAGTTCCTCTATGCATATCACCCTTTTTTTCCCGGATTATTTTTTGGATGGAAGAGAGAGACACACAATACATAAAGCAAGCATTTAAAATGGGACAGGGCACCTTTAGAAGCAAATATAGCACCTAAAACTACTGTCTCTTTTTTTAAAAAAAAAAAAATCACCTGAATTAAAAAAGCCTTTTAGCTCACCTGTAAGATACATTCAGATAAGTGATCCCTTGGAAGGAAGGCTGTGGTATTTCCCCTTAGAAAGAAGGTTGGGTCACACAACTCTCCTCAAAGCCGGTGCAGTACAATTCAGAAGACCTGATGCCAGCTTCTCTTTGTCATGGCTAAACTACACAGCTTTTCAGAACTTTCAGAACTCTGGATATATTTCAAATCATAGATTATAAACATCTTTGTAAGTAAAGCAGAAATGCTACAAATAGAAGGCAAAAAATCCAGAAGATGAAACTACAAACTGTATAAAACACATAATATCTGCCAGCTGACACTGGTCTGTAACATGCTTTTCTCCAGCCACATTAAACACCACTGTCCACTGTAAGAGGATCCTATGCTTCTGTAAACCAAGTGTATTTTCATTTATTTGGTATCACATTTTTGTGAGCTTGCTTATGCAGTACTGTAAACACATTAGTAATGAATAATTTTGCTTTGTGGAAAATGTAAATGCAAACTTCATCTAAATACTGAAAGAAGATCACCAAGGCCTTAACCTCATCCCAAGTATAAAATTTAAAGCTTTTACAAGACTCCAGCAATGTAGCAAACCAAATACATATCAAGCAGCATTATGAAATTACCTTTTACTTGGTTTAGTTTCATTTCTGTGAATATTTTATTTGCATTTTATTCATTTGACCTGTGAGAATGTGTTTAAAATGAGAAAGAAATCGAACCAGCAGAACTACCCTTTGTTGCTGTCCAGGATCACTCCATTAACAAAAGGGATCAGTTTTTTAGTGATAGAGCCAGGAAACAAAGAAACCATAAAAAAGCTGACCAAACCCAATGCCAGATAAAACCAGAGCATCTCCAGAAGGTTGTAATTAAGTTCCTTATGAGGCAGAGCCTTCCACTGCAGCAAGTGTCCAAGGACGTGTGTAATTGGAATAATCCCCATCCGCAGCTCTGATGTTGTTTCCCTTGATAAACCAAATAAAACAATCCTAATGACTACAAAAACATCAGCTCTGCTCTCCAAACACTGCTCTCTGTGTTACACAAATGCTTGCAATATTAGACACAAGCCACATGTGCTGAAACCTGTTACATTTTGCCATTGAGTTTGTGGTACTGGTTGTGAATAACTTCCCGATTGTACAAGCAGGCAGCTCCACTGATTTTACTGGTTCCTACTGTCTGCTGCTCCATATGTAAAGCTATTAATGGGTTTAAATATTTCTTATATTCTGTTTCTATGGTGAGTTGCTTGTAATTTCCATGGTGGTGGCCTCCAGCTGAAGAAGATGTGTAAATTTGGACCTGAATTAGACTTAGGAAATCCTGTTCGAGTTTGTTTTTGGTACTTTACTGCCTGGGGATTTCCATGGGTTAGAGCGATTTAATGCCATGCTGGTTGTTGCAAGCAATGTAGGAAAGCATCTTGTACTAAGTGAAACTACTGAGAAACTATACTTGTCTCCACTAGTTATATTTATCAATATTTTCCAATTTCTATCTTGTTTGGAGCCAATATAAAGTAGCAGCCATCTAAATGCTGTGTGTTTGAATTGCTGGACATCTGCTGAATCACTGAAACTTTCCTTTGACTACTCTTAAAGTAGTTATCTTAGAAACACTTGTGTTCTGACTGGAGAAGTAAAAAGAGTAACTTTCAGAGCATTTAAACAATTTGAAGTCCTGAGGTTGTCTTTTCATGACTTGTTGCAGAGGAAGATGTCTCAAATCAGGAGAACCCCCAGGCACTTTTTCCTCTCCAGCTATCCCAATGGAGCACCAGAAGAGGAAATCTCCAGTAACCTCCAAACAATTCCAGACACCACAGAGCAAATGGAGTTTGATATCAGGTATCACACTACATTAATACTCCTTCTGTCCTCCCCAAGTACGAAGTGCCTGAATTTCCAGAATACTGCTAAGCCAAGTAATCATAGTGCAGACTACTGGAAATGGAATAGATCCAAGTGTAGATAACCTGTGGTGCTTAACACTGTCTGTGCAAGATTATGCTGCATTAAATGTCTGTAAGTTTTTATCTTGCACAGGGGCACAGATATGGCTCTTTATTAGAGACCCACCTGTTACAACAAGCAGCTGAAGAAGCCATTTTTACATAATTCTCCAGGCGCCACTTACAACAAACTAGTAGTGCTGCCTTGGGTTTTTCTTAATCCCATACATACATTTTTTCCAGTACCAGAGTCAGGGGTTGCTTTTGTCCCTTATCTGTGAAAATTTTTTTCTGTGGTTTTTCTGGTGGCTTTTTGTAGGTGGACTGACCAAACCAACCCCAAGGGTTTTTTTCAGCAGACTCCAGAATTACACTCTTAAGTCTACTTACTATTCAGCAGATCTCATAAACAGATCTCAGCAGAATTGCAAATTAAAATAAAAATATATATTCGTATTATTTGTCTACCAGAACAAAAACATGTGTCCAAGAGAAACTAAATCTAACTGGAAATTTTCATCAGGAAAGCATAACCAGTTTTTAGCATCAGCATGTGCCACAGATGTTGTTCAAGTTTCTGTATATCCCAGAATCTCCCTAAAAGCCTTAAGGTTTTGGTCAGTTTGTACCTGGGCACCACCCAGTAGCTGGAGACCCACACTGCACAGTGGAACTCATTGGAGTGAATCTGTTAGATGACAAAGCCAACGTTTTTGTAAGATTAAATATCTTGAAAGGTTTGAACTGAAGGCAATTTCAATATTTTGACTTGGGGAAGGGGGAGGGAGTGGGACAATCAAAAACCCCAAACCAGAATCCCATTGTCTTATATAAAGAAATTAAACACCAAAAACATCGATATGTTTTTTCAAAAGTGACAAATATGCAGCTTCTTATGAAAACATCAAAACACTTAATGTATGAGCATAAAAAATAATCAATAAACCCATTAATAAGGGGAAACAAACCTCCTGTAGCATTTCACTTTTACATTCCCAGTTTAGCCCAGTTGTTGGGGGATTTACATTACCTGACTTTTGCAGAGTGCTTTTGAAGAATTGCTGTTGCAGGGTTCTGCTCTAACATGCACATCCTGACTGCCTTGCAGCTCAGCTACTCAGGTTGGCCGTCAGCTGGCTCTGATGGGGGATGAATTTAACAGGAGGCACCACAGGACATTAGAAGAAACACTGCTTCACCTGGCACGAGTGTAAGTTACCTTATTGGCAGATCCTTTTAAAAAATCATGCTGGACAAACAGGAATGTTAAAAAACTGTATTGCTGCTACTGCTGCCTCACAGAACATAGAAAAGCAAAGCAGCTTGTTTTGCAAGGAAAAGCTTTATAATGTAAAGTGTGAATTCTTTCCACAGACCACAGCCATTTAAAGTCAAGAGACTTGTATAGTGTCTTGCTATTTCAAATTCCTCAGAGGCGCAGTAACTTTAGACACAATTTTAAGAACAACTGAGCGATGAGAGACCTGCAGTCCTGTGTGGGATTAACATGTTACTGCATGTGCAATAATGTACCCATGCACATCCAAGAAAACATGGCTGGAACTAGTTTGAACTGCTTTTTATCTGCTGTGAGTTGGGGGTTGTCCTGCATAGTTATTAACTGACATGCAGCAGTGCTCTTACATGAGATACTCAGCTGTGTGGGGATGGTCACTCATTGCAGACCTACCAGAATGCAGTTCAGTTACAACTGTGTAACATAACATATAAATTTATCTGTATATAACACCTTCTACCTCAGCAAAGGTGGATTCACAGTCCAGAGAGAGCCTGTGGCATTGCTGTGTCAATCTTGTATTGCTGTCCTGATTCATCAGACACAAACATCTCTCATTGGGTTATGCTCTTCTAAGTTTGAAACAACCATAAGGAGTGTCACTTTTATCACTTAATTCTGAACCTAAATTATCTTTAGATTTCAAAGGTCTTCTGCCTAAATATTTAGAGAAATATACATGTACAGATACACCTTCAGGAAGGAATATACTAAAGGTTTTTGTTTGGGTTTTGTTTTATTGGTTTTTGTTTCCTAGACATTGCTATTTTATTTGCCACTTTTTAGAATAAATTTTCTATCCTCATGCTTTGTTTTGTTTAAATCATCAGGGTTGCAATGAGTGTTTTCCAGACATGGAATGTTATTAAAAGTGTTATAAGAAGCTGTGGAGATGTGAGCAGTAACTGGACAAAGCGGATCACTGGCTGTGGAGGCTGGGTATGCTTCCTCCCTTTTCTCCCACCTTTTTGTTGGCACATAGGCAACAGGAACACCTCGCTCCCTTGTAATGTCAGTGAGACAAGTATACCATGTGGCTTCAGGCTGGGGTTTATCCCTTTGTTTGTTGGTACCCCCTCAGTGCCCTGGGTTGTTCTCTTTAGGCTGAAATGTCTCATTTAAAGACTACCCAAATCCCACCCAGCTCACGGTGTTCAGTTCAGAGGGAAGGCACCTGCCACTGTCAGATGCTGGAAGGGTCTCCCTGGGGAGATGAGCAGAGCTGCTGCCAGCAGCACTTACCCAGAAAAGAGAGGAGGATTTAGTGGCTGGAGCCCCCAGTACAATGCAAACCCTCTCTTCATTTCTGCTGCAGAACCGGGCCATGCTCTCAGGCCCACACTGACCTCCCACACGGCCACTCTTTTAGTGTCCTTCCACCTTCTTTTTGCTGCTTGTTATTTCTAATTACCAACCCCTTTCTTCCCACAGACTTGCAGGCTTCCTGTCAGGTGCCTCTGCCAGAAGCTGCTGCCTGCAGCCTTGCTGGTTGCTGCCTTTTGGTGGGCCATTAATTGTGGACTGTAGAATTAGCGCACAGAATTTACAACAGGAGGTCATTGCTGGACACTGACCAACATCACTAACACCCCAGTGGTGGCAGCTGGTTTGTTTTTTCAAATTTACACTGATGAAAATCTCTTTAATATTTAAACTTAGGCGAGTGCTGGGTCACTGCTGTTTCTTATCTTTTTTAAAGAAAAAACTTTTAAAATAAGGAGGTCGTTGCTGGATAACTGCCTGACTTGCTAGTTTTGAAATGTGACTCCAGGCAATTGGAAAGTCTGTCTTTTTTTGTGTTTATTTTAATGCAATATAAAGTGTCTTATTTCCTATAAATGAATTTGTTAAAGAGATTCTGGATGTGAGGTAAACTGAAGGCATGCTGGCCATCCTTTAAATTTTAACACTGTAAAAGCAATAGTAAAGATTAAAACCATGATACTTTTTTTAAAATTAAATTGTTGCTTCAAACCTTTTGCAGTGTTTGCTTTATTTTCCAAGACTCTGCTATCACACATTAATGGCAGTATCCTCTGCCCCTTTTCAAAGTAAAACTAGGAGCTGCCCAGAAAAACACTCCAAGAACTTGATGGATTGTGAGAAGGGATTTTCTCAGAGGATGCATTTATTTTTGCAGGACATGTGCCTAGGGGGAATAGAAGCCTGAGGGGAGCATGAGCACAACTTACAGGATGCAGATGGCCGAGGTGTCACCCTCCTGGACTCCATGGGTGGCCATTAGGGCACAGCTGAGTTTTTCCTCTCTCAACATCTCCCATTTCTGCCTGGTTATTCTCTCTATATCTGAGTGCATCTTCTCTTTTTGCTGTTGAAGCTGGTTTTCAGTATCCAGCTATAAACTCTCTTGGTGAGAGAAAATGAAAGTGCAGCTCTGTGGTTTGGGTATTCCCCTCAGCACAGGACATGCCTGCTTCTTGCCCAGACAAGCAACTCCTACCCTTAAGTGTTATTTTTAAAACAGGAAAATACAATATTCAATGGATTTATGATCTAAGAACTCATCAGAGAAGCTGGAGTTTCAAGTTTGAGTCTCTGCTTTAAAGGAGACAAGGAATTCTTCTTTAGTGAAGACAAATGCCAAATCAAGCCCAATTTAAGCATGCTGAGGAACATGATTCCTCTCTTTAATGAATGGTGCCTAACTGCCCATCTCAAAAAATGGTTCTGGGAAAAAAAAATGAAGCTCCACTAGACTATTTCATTTGACAGTTTCATGCAAAGGATTTTGAAATATCTTTGAATGACTTCAAAGATAGAGTAAAAGAAAGGAGGCAAAGAAGGAATATAAAAGGTAATGGCTCCAGCATACCCCAGAAATTCAAGCAGCAGCAGCATATCTTCCAGTGTCATATTTTTCCAAAATGCTCTCAAGCTGATGTGCCCTTCAGCAGGAGGTAGGCAAGTTTTTTCTAGAAAAGCACAGTTCACACACCCGGAACTGGAGTCACACACAGGCCAGAAGTTGGCCCAAGAAACAGACTAAAGTTTTATCAGCGAATTGACAGCTCCATTGACCTCTGTAATAGCAGTGTGATAGAAAAATATGTTCAAGTTATTATTTAGTAAAGGGTAAAATTTACTATCAGGAAGGTCTAATAAACAAACTATTCATATGTAATAAAAATACCAGCTATGAAAAAATGGACTCTTCCCAGCTGAGTCAATTTAATACTACCAAATACTTATTTCTAGATAACCTTTATGCACAGGGAAGCAGTGATGAACAGGAGACTCTTCACTGCCTGTTTCATCCAAGAGTTGTCTGGGGTGACTTTGCTTTTTCCCACTCTTGTATTGAATCACCAGAGAGGGGAATTTCATCATCCAGCATGTATGGAGCAAAACATAGTCTCAAAGAATACAAAACTAAGTCCCAGCAAAGAAGTGAAACACAAAGCAAATGGCATCCAAAGCCACAGCAAGCAGCACCAACTGGAGCAGCAGGGAGCAGTCATTGCCAGGCTCCTCTTTCACCTGTGGAGCACATTCAGTTAATCCTTTAGTCAAAGCCCCACAGTGACTCAGGGGACCCAACGTTAATTCTGTTTTTTTCACTGCACACTTCCTGATATGTGACAGCATTTACAGCACTTGATTTTCTTCCACATCCTGTTTCTGCTTGTTCATAGGTGAAGGAGTCACACTGGTTTCTCACCTAATTAAACAAGACCCACATGATTGGAATGCTCTTACAATACAAATTTCCCTTCAGCATTCTTCAGCTGACAGAAATGCAGGTTATCAATGGTTTGCAAACAAGAGATTTCTAGCATGGATTTACCAAAGAGCTTTAATTCCCAGCAAAGTGTACAGCAAAGTAAAATGGGGGTGGGGGGGAAGGAAAAAAATTATGGCAAGAACACTACAAATAGGAATCAGGTCTCCCAACATTTCCTCAGAAAGGTTAAATAATTAAAAAGAAAGTCCATAAATTTCAAAGCACTAAAATTAGTGCCACCAACATACCACACTCAGTTTCAACTATCATAAAAGCTGGTTTGAAAGTCATCAATGTTGCATTTGGTCTTACAAGGTGCAGTCAGAAACTTTTAACACAGGATAATCCAGTCTTTTAATAACAGGAATGGGATTTAGTTGCAGTATTCTAACTGAAGACTTTGGTATGCTTTTCTGCATAATTAACACCTTACCTGTAACATAGGAACCTTCACTGAAATAATTTTCTTTATAGTTTTTCCAACACTTAATCATCAGCCTCTAGCAGTCAAATAGTGAAGCTGAAAAACACTGCAGTATTTTACTAATTGTTAATGTTTACACATGCTAAAAGTGGAATTTGGACTGTGAGGGCAGGCACAGCTGCCAGCTGCAGTCCACAAAAGAACTGTTTAATAATACAGCCCACTTAGCAATGATAATAAGGGCCAGTGTTTTAAATTCACTCTCCCTGTCATAAATGTGAAATTACAGAATGATTGGTACTGTAATTGGAAGTTCTCCTGCATTTCATAATACATTATTCAAGATGCTGTCAGTCATTTGATTTAAGTAATATATCCTATTTTTTTTTATATATATATCTGTTAAATATAGCATTAAAATACCAAAATAAAAATACAAACTGGGAAATGGGAAGCTCATTTCAGGAGGGTTTGGGACAACTGCTGGTCTCCAGCTCATTTCTTGCTGTAAGGCAATGTAGATATTATATTTGTTTAGCTTTTTTTTTTTTCAGTGAACATTTCTTGTGTAACTTAGCACAACCAATTTGGCATTGGACAACTGGAGGGAAAGTTACTTCCATCCACATGTGGACAGAGCCAATAATGATGCACCCCAAAGCATTAAAATAGCAAGAAAAAGCTTATAGTTTATTTATAGTTTGACCTTAAGAAAATAATGTTTCTAGTAGCATCATCTGCCTCACTCAGCTGCTACCTGGCAATGTGGACACAAAGTAAGAGAACTTTACATAGATGAACACCACAAAAGCCAGCTGAGTAAGAAAACAGGAGCATCAACACACTGAAAGCCTTCCCAACAAATGGCTCTTCTAAATGCAGCCTCCAGCACACAGCAGAGCCCTCCACAACTTGAAGCCAACAACCCCTGTATTCCTGCCGAAGATCCCTGCATCAGACAGCCAAGGCTACCAACTGGAAGCTGAATCCACATCCAAAAAACTCCCCCAAAAACAACCAAACGAAAAAACACCAAGAGGCAAAGTTGCTTGCAGGATTGAGGCCAAACAGTGCTACTTGGCCTGTTTGTTAACAGCTTTGCAGTCCCGACACAGATGGAAGTGCCAAACTTTGCTCTCCCCTTTGCACACCTGAGGAACTCAAGGAAAATGTTCATTGCAATTATGCACATAGTGCTCTTTACATCATGAGAAGCCACGAATGTTTAAGACTTCCTCTTTCGGGAGCACAAAGTTTTAAAGCAGAAAAAACCCGAGTTGTGTGGATTTTTCTCAAAAGGTTATTTAAGTCTCTGCTGGTTCCTCATCTTCCAGAGCATCTACATGCTTATATTGTTTCCAGGCCTTTAAATTACATTGTTTGAGAATGGCTCCTAGTTGATTCCCGGGCCCCACTTCATATGTGTAAGGAAATTCTGTTCCTTGCTTTCTTTCGTACACTGAGTGCATGGTCTGCTCCCACAGCACAGGTGACACCACCTGCTTCACTAACAGCTTCTGAATGTGCTTTGAGTGCATGTACTTTTTGCCATCCACATTGGAATACACACAGAGCAGCGGTTTCTGAATTTCAATCGATTTTAGCACTTCAGCCAGGGGCTCTACTGCTGGTTCCATAAGTCTGGTATGAAAAGCCCCACTGACTGGAAGCAGTTTTGTACGTTTAAAATAATATTTTCGGGCATTCTCCTGCAAAAACTCCAAAGCCTATAAAAGAGAGAGAGAAGTGAGTCTTGCACAAGAAAGGTTTTCTCAGTCACCCCACAAGAATCACCTTACCAGACTTATTGATAAAGGGAATCCTTTCCCTACCCAACAACTGAACACATGCCAGAAAAAAAACCCCACAGATCAAATATTTTTGTCTGGACAAACTGAAGCCGTACATAACACCCACACAGAAGCGCAAAGTAAAAGTTTTTAAAAAGTGAAATGCTCAGTTCAACTGAAGCAATTTAAAGATTCAGAATTCATTCTGAAGCAATACCTGTAAGTGTCCTGCAATGACTCTGCTGTCTGGAAACAAATAGTTTGAAACTGTGCACACGGGGTTCTCTATACCCAGCGATTCACAATGTTTACGGGCTTCCAGGCAGGCAAATTTGTAATTTGCCTCTCGCCGGCCGACAACCGAGAGCATTCCACTGGGGACAGCTTCCGACGCCTTTTGCATGGCTTCGGCGCGCACTTTCACCGCGTACAGCGCTACGGAGAGAAACAGAGATGCTGCGTGAATGTGAGCGCGGCCACCTGCGCGCAACAAAGGGCAGCTGCTCACTCGTGAAACGTCAATGCTTTTAATGCCGTGTTACACGCGTTAAAGCCAACACTCGAAGTAGAAAGTAAAATTCGTCCTCTAATTAAAAACAAAAAAGCAGGAGGGACACAGTGACAACAAGCTTTGGAAACAGCACGGGCCGCGGCTGGGAGATCCTAGCGGGGAGCTCCGCACGTCCCGCAGGCACCTTCGGCAAAGCCCAGCGCTCCAGCGAAGACCAGCGCCGCGAACTCCCCCACGCTGTAGCCGGCGGCCGCCACGCAGCGCTCCACGACCTGCGGGACACAGAGCGTCAGCCGCGGGGCGCGCCCGGCCGCCGCCCGACCCCCGCGCCCCCGCGCCCGCTCACTTCAGGCTGCCGGTGGTTGAGCTTCTCCACGGCGGCCAGGGAGGCGACGAACACGGCGGGCTGGCAGTGCTGGGTGCGGTCCAGCGCGTCCCGCGGCCCCTCCAGGCAGAGGGAGAGCAGGTCGTAGCCCAGCACCTTCTCGGCCAGGCGGTACATGTCCCGCACGCCGGGGTACTGCTGCAGCCCGCGGCACATCCCCACGAACTGGCTGCCCTGCCCGGGGAAGAGCAGCACCGTGCCCTCCCGGGGGTACCGCCGCTCCCGCCTCGCCGCCGCCGCCGCGCCCGGCTCCTCGGCCTCCACCGAGCTCTGCAGGAGGTCGCTCAGGCTCGCCGCCCGGTCCCCAGCGCCGGGGCGGGAGCTGCCCCACCGCCGCGCAGCGCCGCGGAGGCCGCCGCGCCCGCTGCAGCCACCAAGCCGCCATGGCGCCGCGGCCCAGCCGCCCATGGCCGCCGCCCGGGAACGGGCGTTGCCACGGGAACGGGGCGGCCCCCGCCGGCAGCTACCGCCGGGCTGGGCGCCGGCAGAGGGAACGGGAAGGAAGGGAGGGAGGGAGGAAGGGAGGGAGTGAGCGAAGGGAGATCGGCCGGACCGCCCCGCCGCTCGCCGCCCTCAGCGCCGCGCACCGCCCTGGGCCCGGCCCGCGCCAGGCGCCTCCGCCCGCCCAGCGCCGAGAGCCCGCCCCGGCTCTGGGACCGGGGGCGGCGCTTGGCCGGCCGGGCAGAGCGGGCACGACCGGCGGCAGCAGCGGCGCGGCGGGAGGAGGTAACGCCGGCGCTGCCCGCGGCACGGCTCGGGTGGGAAGGGACGGGCAGCCCGAGGGGCCTCGGCGGAGGGGCCGCCCCAGCCCCCGCGCGGCTCCCGGAGTGCGCTGCTCAAGGGCGGACAGCACTTAGGCAAAACACTCGCGGCTTTTAGCATGGAAAGTGGTTCAAAATAAACAAAGCAAAGCGCCAAGCTAGGAAACATTTTGATCCGGCACACGAGCTTTGCAGTGGCTGGCAGCTGTGCGCGCACGGCAGAAAGGCAGAACCGGCTCCTCTGGTCCCGCGGGACCGGCGGCTCTGCCGCGCACACGGGGCACATCCGCTCTCCGCGCTCGGAGAAGTTTCCACGCTGCTATTTAACTAAAGGTATCTTCCTTTAACTTCCTTCAGTGTCGCCGAGGAACATTTCTTTAAGGGTGAAAGAAAGGGCTTTGGTTTTCAATGCCGAGTTTTTGAGTGATACTTATAAATAAGCCTGAAATGCACTGTGATATAACTGGAGCATTCAACGCTTAAGATTATTTTTTAAAAAGAGAAAGTTGGCGAGCCGGAGTTACGGTTGTGTAACGACTTTGCATGAAGTAAGGTTGTGAAACAGTATCAAGCATTGAGTCAGAGCAGCACAGTAAAAGAGGCTGCAAGTACAGCTTGGGAGAAGGAAAATGTGTCATAATAGCAAGAAGTTAGGTTGACTTTTTATTTTTCTCACTTTTTTATTCTCACTTTTCTATTCTCTATGTTATATTTGTGTCAACCTCCAGATAAAATACCTAGAAGTGCTCAAGTTATATGAAATATATGGGCAGTAACATAGGAGATATGTGACCATATCCCAGTCCATGGCTGCCTCTACTTGTAACATAAATGTCAATGAGAAGAGATTGAGAGGAAATGGCAAATTCTCCCAGCAAAAATCTTGCTCCAGTATGCATTTCAGTTCCCTGTATGTGCTTAAATCATAGATTTATTTGCACAACTTTTGCTTTACCACATTGAAAGAAGTGTAACCTAGGGAGTGAGATTGTTTTTCTTTCCATCTGTACATCTAGCATTATAGTCTTCAATAAATACATTATTTTAAAAATATATAAATATATATTGTAAACATATGCACTTATTAGATATTTATATTCTATTTATATTATTTATTGTTTGAAGTGTCTCTATTACTTGAGATTAGATAACCTGCTTTTTTCTTTGTCATAGATTGCAATATAAATTTGATTTTAGTGTTGCAGCTTCCCAGGAATTAAAACCACAACACACATAAATAGTTACTCAATATAAATTCAGTATGTTGTCTTTAATTTTTCAGACAGCTATCTTGGGAAGAAGCCTTTTTCCTGGGGAAAATTTGCATGCTGCTTTTCAGACCTGGGCAGAGCCTTATTTGCCCTTAAAAATTGTATGGTAGAGGATGAGAGGGAGAGTATCTGTCTTGGGAACCCCCTTCCATGGTATGCCCAGCCTTGGCAGCCCATCTCCAAACACTGGGAACCCCAGGGCTGCCAGGGTGACTTTTGCTGGGAGATTTTGTTTGGTTGATTTTTAAGCCCCGTGTGATTGCATAGCCAGCCCCAAGCTGCACAAGAATGGAACTAATCAGAAGTTTTATCAGCACAGGGGTATCAGAAAATGGGATGAAAGCAGTTCTCCTTTCCTACCTTCCTTCTCCCTCCTGCTGACAGAGTGCCCCAAGGAGGGAAAGGCACCTGTCTTTCAGACACCCACTCAAGGCAAAGAAGTGTTTTAGTTCATTTTTCACCAGGCTGAAGCAACCCAGCTGCTCTGTCATGATATATCTAATCCCACCTACAGAGCAGCCTATTCCTTTCTTTGGGTGCACAGTGTTTTTTCGGAAAGACGACACAGAAAGCTTCTGTTAGTTTTTTCTTTATGTTATACCACCATAGAAAAACAGCAGAGAGAAGCCCATTAGGCAGTAAGTTTAACTACTGCAGCTTTTCCCCCCTCTTTATTTCTCCTTTTACTTTATGTAGCTGGAACCATCTTTGGGTAGGTCAGATGCTTTGAATACCTAGAATAATTATTCTAACATGAATGTAAATCAAAGTGGCCTAGTGCAGCCCTCACTGCACTGCTGAAACTACCTGAAGTCACACTAGGGCTAAACAGAAAAGGGACAGCATGATGAAGAATATGTTGCAGGGCAGAGATAAGAAGTGGAAAAGAAGCAAACAAGTGTGTGTGAGAAGAAAATATTTCCAACCTTGGTGGTTCTTAGAGGCAGATGCCTGCTGGGTACACTGCAGATATCATTCCAGACATCCAGCATTCCTCAGTATGAAAATGAGGGTGCAAGGATATTGTGCAACTCACCCTGGAGCTGAGATATGATTGGGAAAGTAGTTATTATTTCTAGGTTGAGTAATGCTGCTGCAGCCAGTGGGGCTGTGCTAGCAAGTCTGTGGTGTGTAAGTTCTCACCGATGTTGTACACGGAAAGGAAGGCAGGGCTGATGAACCTCTGTGCTCACATTCCTTTTAGAAAATGTACAGGCTGTTCTGTAAACATTGCACAGCTCTTGTACTGCACAGGTAAACAAAGACTGCAGCACTGGCCAATGCACAGACTCTCCAGAGCATCTTGTCTTTTACTCATTCTCATGCTAAAGACCTACATCAGGCAACCAGACTAAGTCAGACGTGGCTTCTTCCATGCTGTTTTCTGAGTTACCTGTGCTTTTTTATGGAAAGTTGATACCAGTATTTAATGTCTTTGGAATGAGAACACAGGAACTCCCACTGCTGATGGACAGCTGTGGTCTTGCTGCCAGCACATCTTGCTGCATGGTATTGTCCCTCCTTCTCCTTGCAAGATAGAGTATTTTGCCATGCTTGGGAAATCCTGAGGGATACGACTGGAAAATAGAGCACATAATTAATTAATAGCAATAGTAGTTAAAAGACTGGGGTACCAATATTCAATTCCAAACAGTATGTTCAATCTCTTAATTTCTATTTCTTCCCCTTTGCTGTGCACGAGTGGCTTCACTTCTCTTGTTTCTTTGCTTTGTGCCTTTCCTGTTTCTATTTCCCTGCCTGGCTTTCTTTTTCGTAAGAATTACTTCAGTTTTCTTCCTCTAATATGCACGGATATATCATTTATTCACTTATGACTGCCACAGAGCAGTATGGTTTCAATTTTATAGTATTTAGCACTTTCAGCTTGCAGAACACTTTCAGACTTTGTTCTGTGGGAAGAAGTTGACAAACTGACAAACTCTGTTGCTGAATGCTGTGAGGAGACCACCCTCTATATTGTTAATATCCAAATAAAGCATAAAGCCCTTTGGGTTCTGGCTTATCACTTTTGAAAAAATAGTATTTGGCAGCCGTGCTGGATTTACACATATCACAGCGTGTATAGAGAGGTAAGCCTGGCCTCCCTGTAGGCAAAGCAAAAGGGTTAAAAATTAGATCTTATTAATTTTCAGTTTTTAACTTAAGCTTTGGGAATTACTCATCTGAAGGCAGCCAAAGAGAATCACTGTGCTCAGAGCTCTTGTTCCCATCACACCTTGTTGCTCCTGCACATGGCACTTGCTTCACATCCCAGTAAAAGCAGAGCCTTTCATGCTGTCAGTGGGGATGACAAGTGGTGCACACAGCAGCTGAGAGCCTGCTTCCTTGGGAAATAACAGCACAGACCTAAGTGCAGAACAGGGGCACTCCTCTGCTCCACTTAAGATGCTTCCTCATAAGCAGAATCCACTAGGCAGAAGTACAGCAGCACTAAGCCCTGCAGATTTTTCCTCCCTCCCTTGTCCATCCTCCATCCAAGACCTAATTGATCCCATCACAGCAGAATACCACATTGTCCTCCCCTTTCTCCTCCTCCGAAGCCTCAGGTCTGAATTCTTCCCTGCTTGGCTCTTTCACCTATTTTGTTTGGGTTTTGACCTTTACTTGTATCTCTGATGGCTTTGCCTGCTGTCTTTTTTGTGTATATTTCTATTCTGCCAACTCCCCCAAGCCCACAGCCCAGGCCTACCTGCCCTTTCTTGTTTAACCTCTCAACATTTCTCATCCTGTGTGCTTTACCAGTCCCTCCATGCTCAGTTTGCCTTCAAAACTCTGCTCTGCTTCTATCACCAGGATTCCTCTTGATCCCATGCAAATTGCATTGTGGTCCCAGCTACTGAAATCTCTCATTAAATCTGTGTGGGCAGAGCCCTGAGTGCAGGGACAAAAACCACAATGCAAGAACTTTCTTGCTGCCCAAGCTTACCCTGATCCGGGTCAGAGCTGTGACAATGCAACCTCATCTGTGCCATTTCCTATTGGTTTAAGCACATCTGTCACAAGTAGGATTTCCTCTTCCCCACTCCCTGCCTCCTCATCCCAGCAGTCATGACTAAAGCAATAGAAGCTTTGAAATCCAGGGAAACACAAGAGCCAAGACAATATCAATATGGCACTTTTCTCTGACAAGCATCTGAAATGCTCATTGATCTAAAACTTTATTTTCTCTCCTGGGCCTTCTGCAGTTGCTCTTTCCCCACTGCTGCAATCTCTCATAATCTCTCTCCTGCATAACACATGAACAGGAATTGGGTGTATTTGCCTACTGTATATTTGAAAAAACATCCTTTTGAGTTCTGCCCTTTTTTTTTACTGTAGCTCTAATGTTTACATTTCAGTAAACTAAGCACAGCTCTTCTGCAGCATTTGGCCTTTGGCCAGAAAATCTGCGATGAAGCTTTTTCCTCCTTCCTTGCTTGCTGGTTTTCCTGCTGCCTGTACCCAAACTAAAGCAGCACGGCCTAGCAGAGCAAGTTATTACTTAGCCTTACTTCTGTAGGCAAATTTAATGGACTTGGCAGCTACAACTGCTGCAACTGATTGAATGCTTCCTGAAGGAGCCAAAGGTGTACTCCCCATGTAGCATCCAGATCACCTTCCTTGTTTAGCAAAACATCAGTTAACTTCTTACCTTCCCATTATCCTCCCTGGTGTTTGTGTTCCAAGGCAGCTTCTCAAGTGTCTGCTACTGATTCACATCCCTCTGGCTCCCACTGAGCATCCTGCAGACAACACCTCACATTATTTTGCTTGAGCACAGGAAAGCATATGCTCTTTTCTTCCTTGGCTCTGCCATTTCATTGAGGGAACGGGCTTTTTGGTGAATACAGAAATACACACTTCTTACTGCATTTATTTATTTTCCAAGTGCAGTTCATATAACATCAAACTGCTCTACTCCTCTGCCATACTTATGGGTGAGGATATTTCTGTAGGTAAAATTCAGTAATCTTCATGCACTCAGCTGAGAGAGAAGGCCCCACTTCCCACCAGCTCCCCCCTCACCAGGGACATATTCCTTTACAGGTGTATTGGTACAAGATCCATTAATTTCAGCTGCAGTCTCTCTCAGTGACAACATTAGGCTGTGCATCAGATCTTACATGCCTATTTTTAAAATCTGTTAGAAATGGAAACTTTTGCAGTTTCATTTTAAAAGTTCTCTGCCAATCAGTGTTTGGTTTTGTTTCAGGTTCACTGTATCAATGGAAGTGGTACCAGCCTGGGCCCCAGCAGTAGGTTTCACACTCCTGCCACATGCAGGAGGATTTTTAGGAAGCAGTATAACCAAAAGGGAAATCCCAACATGGTATCAAACTCTACAGAAGCCATCCTGGTGTCCACCTAACTGGGTGTTTGCTCCTGTTTGGGGAACTCTCTATACATCTATGGGGTATGTTTTTCACATTATATTAAGGCACTGGCTTGATCTCAAAGTTGCATTTGGTATAATGCTGGACCAGAGGATATGTCTGTACTCCTGTAAGAAATTGTGTCAACCTGCCTCTTTAACAGGTAAAAACATGTTCTGGGAGTTGTGTGTGGGTTGGATAGGACATTTTGTATGCAGAATTATCCGCATCAAAAGCAGGAACTTGAAAAGCTGCCATTAATTTGCTTTCCTCATTCATTCTGAGAAGAACTGCCAAGCTGCAAACAACAGAATAAGGCAGCACTGGGATTTCTTCTAAGTATATCCTTCAGGAGTTTTAAGAAAATTTAAGCAGAAAGAGGTGGGGGAAATTAGGATAGAACTGTTCTAACAACTCAATAATGCAATGGATGAAACTGAATGCTAGACTATCACTCCCATGTTCTCTCATTTTGGTTTCATTTTCTTTCCAGAAAAGCTTTATAATTTTTATAGCCTCGTGTCCTGTCTCTCCTCACCAGTCTTATCTTTTCTTTCCCCTCACACAGACTGTACTTTTAAACTGATTTAAGTGGAATACTTGTGTAGTTGAAGAGTTAACATTTGAATAAGATCATAACTGACCTATGAATAAAAACATACCTTTTATCAAGGATAAAGAGCTGGGTGGCTTTCCCAACTTCCTTCAAGTTGATTGCACAATCTGTAATCCTTTGTCTGGATTCCTCACCATGAATCTGGGTGGCAGGTTAAATACCTTTAAAAAGTCCAGATTGTGACAGCTTATCACTTATTTTGGTAATAGCAGAATCTGTTTATCCTAAGGTGGATGGTCTTGGTTATGTATTATACATCCAGCCCAGTGAAAAGCTCATACTTAGTACCAGCTTCTCTAATCCATCATGCACACACATTCCTTGAATGAACAACACATTTCATTCCTCCAGAATCTCAAATATAAGGAAAGCAACAAATAACTAACACAAGATTGAATAAGCTTACCTGTGTTTCTTGACACTTAGCTTCTTAGATTTGTACATCACAGTATTGGTCTGAAGTTGAAGTCAGGTATATGAACAGGTTGAAGTCCATGCTGTGCTTTGGAAATCACTTAGGAAATGGAAGCTTCTAATGTTTACCCTGCCCCAGCTTTATTCTGTTTTCATTATTCTCTGCAATCAAAACTGACAAAATTGTTCAGTCCCTGTGAAAGTTATGAAAGTGATGAAAAGGTTCTTCCTGCTCCCCATACTCAACTGTGCTTTGGGATCCTACTCAATGCCATTCATTTCAGCCACTTACAAACTGGGGTTTGATTAATTTCTAATAAATCTTTAAAGAACCACGTCCCAGTACCTAAACAAAGTTTCTTCACTATTTCCATCTTAGACTTGTTTCCATTTCAACATGGCATTCTTTTTTTTAAGACAGAAATGCAGTAGGTTATCTACTTCTATACACTTAAAAGTAAGAATTCTGGCATGATTGGAATTTTTCTATCTCCATGTTGTTATCCAGCTGATCAAACCTTTGCTGTAAGTTACTTTGCCAAGTAGGGCCTGGATATCTCTATCTTCCAAATTAATCTAGAGCCTGGCACTGAACGTATTTCACAGCTCAAGAATGTGTGGTAGCTTTAAACAGTGTAGTGAATGACACTTCCCCTTTGCTCTCTGCAGATACGGCTCCTACCTGGTGTGGAAGGAACTGGGGGGCTTCAATGAAAAGTCAGTGATTCCTCTGGGTCTGTACGCAGGGAACCTGGCATTAAACTGGGCATGGACTCCAATATTTTTTGGAGCTCACAAAATGGGATGGGTAAGTGGAACCCTAAGGTATTAGCATGCAAGGTTTTTGTCATCTTTTCTCCCTGAAAATGGGCCTGAATACAAAATGTGGCTTGCAGAACTTTTCTAAAATTCTCTTTAATGCATGCCAGCAACCACCTGAGAGAACTTACAGATTCAGACCATCCTTAAATTGGTAAGATTTTAAGCAGCTTTCTGTCAGCCTTTGGCAAGAGCTCTGGATGACCAGAAAACAAAATTTATGCCTTATTGCAATTCCTAGGTCTCTCTGGCACACAGCAGTGATAAGCAGCTTATTACAACATTATTCAGTGATCAACAGCCCTTTTAGAAAAGACTAATTTTCTGCAGCTCTCTGAAGAGAAACAGCTCAATTATTCTCAAAAAAAAAGAATTGGTAATAAAAAAAATAAAATATTTGCCGGTTCTCTAGCTGCACATGCAATGCTATAACAGGGAAAGACTGCAATCCATTAGCAATTCATTCACACCTCATCTCTTCAGGTGACATGAACAAACCAGACAGGTTTGCTTTCTCCAACTTACTCTGGGAAGTGTCTCACGGCCCACTAAAGGGGATATGGGTCAGAGAGACTTCATTCTCCCTCTCTGCTCCCAGTTGTAATGCCCTTTCTTGTATTGTTTTATGACTCAAAGTGGTTTGTAACTCAGTAGAAATCTATCTTTTTCTGATGTCTGGTTTTCTGGGAAGGATTTAACTCCCCGAGGGATAGAACAGGTGCCAGAGTTGGGTGGAAAGTGACACACAGCAAATGCAACAAGTAAAACAACACTAATCACCTTCTGTGTTTCAGGGGTTGGTGACTCTCCTGCTTACAACTGGTACAGCAACAGCTACCACTGCTTCCTGGTACAACATCAACAAAACAGCAGCTTATTTGATGGTTCCTTACTTAGCTTGGCTAAGCTTGGCTTCTGCGCTCAATTATCGGATCTGGAAGGACAATCGCAACAAGAAAAAGCCTGAATAAGAAGTTTTCAGCCAAAACATTTTTCTTCCACAATAATTTTTTATATAAAGTTATGGCCTTGTTTATTTTTAGATGAACTACTTCTGCCCTAACTTTGGTATTTACAAGTTGACAAAATAAATGCAACTTTACTAGGCAAGCCACAAAGGGATGTATGCCTGACTGAGTTTTATAGCAAACTAAAATAAAGTGTCTTGATTGAAAAGTGCTAAGTGCCATGTTCCAGTTTTATATGTTAGATGACAACAGCATTGTAACTGTTACCAGAAGAAAGCAGGAACTCAAACTTCCTGATGTTCAGAGGAAGAAATCCAACCAGACACTAACACATTTCCCAGAAAGGTGTTCCTAACAGTGACAGGGATGATTGTGGCCTGAATCTTTCATATTTACTACTAGGCACAGTGTTTTTGTGCTGTGTGTCCCACTACAGCCACCAGATATTTGTCTTCTGGCCATTGTACTCTGGAAATGTGTAAGACAAGCTCTTTTTAACAATTTGTGAAGAACTGTAGATGCATTCAGCTAAATGCATTAAACTACATGTAAACTTAATAACCTTGTTCCTTGCTGGTATTGTTTTGAGCAGAAAAACACTGAAGGCAGAAGGATGCTACAGCCCCAAGGACAGCCCCTTCATCTCTTCTCCTCACCTTTGCAATGGCCAAGACAAACCAGGAAATTCAGAGCACCTGCAAGAAACTGTGAGAACCCAGTCACAATATTTTTTTAATCAAATTTAGGTAAGAAGCCCAAACCAGTTCAGGCTCCCCTGAGCAGGCCAGCATAGTGTGACCATCACTTCTGGCTGTACAACCCCACTCTTCCTTCTGCCTCACCTCCACAGCAACTGGATTTTCCCAAGTTTATTTCTCTAATCTATGCTCCAGTCAGTGGAACAAAGCAGGTTCCTGTAGACCAGCCTGAAATAGCCTCAAATATTCCTTTTTGTTCCTGATTCTGAGGGACAACGTGCTGCATCTTTGCAAAGCTGGAAGCAAGCTTTAGAACGCTTACACAGTTTTATAACTGTACTTTCAAGCACATCCTAATTGCTGCAAACTAGCTTAAATAATTACTACCCATACAATATAGATGTCATGGCAGGCAGCAGAATTTTCTGCAGCTGGCACATAAAGTAGCTAAATTTCAGCCAAGTGACCCTGGTTTAAGATTAGAAATGATTCATTTCAAATGGGCACCCACTGCCAAATACCCCTCTCCTAGGCCCTAAACTTCAAAGTCCAAAGACTTGGGCTTCTAGCAGTTTTCAAAACTCCTTTCATTCCTTTAGGCTTCTGCATTCCTGTGCTACTTCAGACATTGCATCTTGCTCACATCCTCAAAAATTTGGGTTCTTTAAGGGGCAGGCTAAGGATGGCAGCCAGTAGTAGAAGCTTCCTAAATGCAGTGGGGTTGGTTTTTCTCTTTTTAAATAAGGAAAATGGGAAGATCCATGAAATCTTTAGCCCCATTAACCCCATAATTCATTGCACTGAAATATCCTCTTATACTATTTCCCACCCACCAGAACGTCTTTGAATAGGAGGGGTAGATAAGAAAAGGACATACAAACCCCAACATGATTCAGTAAATTATAGTTTTAATGTTGACACAAGGAACTTGTGCAATGTTTCCCAGCAAGCAAGCCGTCAGGCTACCTGAAAAACAAGTTCTACTCTCAGGTCTCCAATATTCAATAAACAAGACACTTTGTCAACACACAACATTTTACAGAAAGAACAAAAGCAAGACGAGGACAATGCAGACAAAGGAATTACCAATACAGTATATGGCATATTCTTCTGATACAATTTTTACCCCCGGTGATCAGTACAGGAAAACAGTTGCATCAGCAGCTCATAGAACTGAAATAAAAATCCTGCTGTTAAGCATATCTGAGAAGGAAATTGTTGGAGTCACATCTCCTGTGGTTAGACAATGCGTGTCACATGGCAGTTGTCTGTTTCATCCAGAAATAGGGTGCTGAAGACATCATTAAAAAAGGTAGGGTGGTATTTGCAGGCTCTGTCACAGTCAGGATTAAAATTTACCTCTAAGATCTGAGGCTGCATAATTCTTTTTCCTGTCAAGGGAAACACAAACATTGCTGCTTAATACAAGCTCTACAGAGATCCCAAATCACTACTTGTCTTTAATCCAGAAATTATAGAAAATGATTGGAAAAAGCATCTTTTGTGACCCAAACTGTCAAGCCAATAGGGTGTTTTTGTTTCAGTGGGCTGGCTTTTATTGGAGGGACAGAAGTATGTTCTACCATCATTATCCAGAGGACAATTATCCAACAGCCTGCAACCACTGTGCTAATTCAATGCCTCCTCTGGAATGAGAATTTGCAGCCATTCAATATGCTCTCCCTGAATCAGCTGTTTTGCCTGTCAAGTCTCTATCGTCTTCAAGAAAACTCTGCTTCTCCTTTCACATTTCAGTACAAACCTTGCTTTTTTAAACCTCCTAGGTATTTAGCACTCCTATTCCTTTAACTTCACCCACCCCCATCTGCCACTTCATACCACTCATAAAGGAAGTCAGGAAATTTAATTTTTTCTTAAAACTTCATCAGTTCCGAATCAAATGCATTCTGTGCAGAGAAAACCAAAGGAATTTGTTTCACATCTGGTGTTGAGATTGTTAAGTGAGGGAACAATCTTCTGATGGATAAGTAAATCCTACTGTGCTTTGCATAGGAGCAACAAATCTCTTTATCCACAGGCTGCCCACAGCTTTACAGCATTGCCACTTCAAAAGGCCAGGGACCTGTGCAGCTCCTGTTCAGCCAGCCATGTAACCTGAGGCTGGTTCTTTTACTACAGCAGTTTTCCTCAATCTAGTAATGTTTGTGAGCTGCTTTGCTTATCCCACTCAGGACACCTCTGGGACAGGTGAAAGAGGATCCAGTGTGGATGTAGCAAACCATGTTCAACCCTTGCTCCAACTCATCAAAACAGCAAAGGCCCCATTTTATACCTCCTGTTTCTCAATCATTTCCCTCCATGAAAGCAACTCAATCTTCACAGAATCAGAGCCTGCAGCAGTGGCCATGGGGCACTCACCCCACACACAACATCGAATTGCTCTGCAGGCAAGCCTGGGCACAGGCAATCAACTTCTGTGTCCCAGAGAACCCAGTACCACATGCTCAGCTCTCTTCAATACTCCCTGGCAGTTCTCTTTGTGTTGGTACCTCTGCTACTTTCTTACCTCTACAAGAAACACCCTGTCTGGGTCAGGCACATTTACAGAACATTTCTGAGCCTCCTAGTGAGATAACAAACAGATTATTCAGTCTGTCTGGCAGACTTTGCTACCAGTCCTCCACAAGGAAGAAAGGCTTCAGGGAGGCAGCCATGCTGTGGCACTAACATGAAGCAGCTTCACTCACATGTTCTTGCAGAGACTTGGTAACAGCTGAATGACAGCCCTGGGGATATCAATAGCATTAAATGGTGAATGTGCTCCCTTCCCTGCTATAGTAAGTCACTGTGCACTGAACACTGCTCCAAGCCTGGAAGCCAGAGACAATTAGATGTCTCCAAGGTTTTCATAGAGAGTTGGGTATTTCAGACATTTGTTTGGGGTTTTTGTTTGTGTGGTGGTTTCATTGGATTGTTTTGATTCCCCCCCACTCCTCTGTTCTGCTGTTTTTCTCCAAACAGAGAACAACAGCAGCAGGGAAACAAGGATGCAGCCCAGCAGCTGCCCCATCACTCCTCTTAAGCAGCATGGCAGATGCCATCCCCACAGATTTGCAACTTCAGGTGTCAGTGGGAGGCACAGACTTCTGCAAAGGTCCACAAACATAAGCAATTCAACATTAAAATAGAGAGCTCCTCACCATCTCTGCTGGTGTCCCACTTAAGCATCAAATCAATGGCATATATTGCTCTTGAAGATGGATAATCACAGATGCCAAGAGGGGCAGGTTTAGATGTAGCAGCTTCAAACAATTCAGCGAATGCCTTAAAAATACTTGCCTAATAACAGAAAAAGCAGTGAATTCTGAATGAGCAGTGAGGTTCCATAAAAGCAGCACACATGTTTCTAATCACTTCATTCACACAGTGTTTTAAAGGGTTTGTATCAATTGCACTACACAACAGATGAAAATCTGCACAGTATTGGCTTCCAAATGTGCATTTACACCTAATGCCAACACAGAGAAAGAACTCAGCACCTGGCAGTATCCATGGACTTTTCTGGGGAGCCAATGAATACTATGGAAATCCTAAAAACAGTGCATTTAACATTAGAATTAACCCCCTTCTCAGGCATTATGCCAAGTATTGCACTTATATGTAGTGGAAGGAAAAAAAACCAAAAACCTAGGAGAGTTCTGTGAAGACCAGCAGTACATTTGTGATGTTCTGGCTTTTTTCCTGCCTATTCCCTTGTATTCTTTCTTTGTTTTGTTCTGTTCTGCAATGAAAAATCTTCTATCCATTTATACCCCTAAGAAGGGTGGAGGGTAAATGGAAATCCTAAGAATGTATTACATAGGTATTTTGAAAAACAGTCAGATATCCAACCTGGAAGTGAAATAAACCAGGAAGAACACAGGGATGTGAGTTTTAGCACTGAATTTATGCTGCAGTGAACCATTCCCCTCTATTTTCTCTACACTTTGGGTAACCTACAGGATGTGTTTTGACATCTCTCTTTTCACCCCTTGTAGTCTCTTTCAGACTATTTTAAACCCTGTCATATTCCGAGTGTCATTAATTGGATACAAGGGTCTAATTAAAACAAATGTGAGTTAATTTAGGAAATCAAGTCACGGCTGGATAATTTATGCACTTTTGAATGATTATGCACATATAAGGGCTCAGCTATCATTCACTCTGTTTCTTCCAGCTCCTAATAAATACGGAAGAATAAAAGAATTCAGCTCTTCACATTCAGCTTTTGCTTTCAAGCACGAATCACAGGAAAAACTAAAATCAATGAGAAAGCCCTCATCTACTTTCCTGCATGTTTTATGGAATTGTAGCATTTGCAGCTTCTTTTTCATAGTCAAAAGATGCCCTGGTACGAGAGAGCCATCTGTGTTCTTGTGAAAAGTCATCTGTGCAAGGAGCAGGGACAGTGCTCTGGCAAGGCTTCTAACACAGAGAAGCTGGGGCAGCAGCAGGAAGCTGCACTTGGGAGTAGTCAGGACTGGCTGTATTGCTAAGTCCAACATAAACAATT